TTGTGAGCTCCGTAACAAATGGGAGCTGTAACAGAGCCCCCCTCTATAAATTAGCTTAACATTTGACAGTACATTGAGTTTTATCTGTAAAAACCTAAATCAGAACTTATCCAAGACAGGCAACAGGGTCAGCTTAATCTGTTCACTGAAGCGCTGCAAATGGAATAAGCTAAATTTATCATCTGGATGTTTGGCTCCAAGTCCATGAGTGGTTGTTTGTTTAAACAAAAGAAAAATTAAAATTGATAAGAAATCTTTAGGACCATTTGAATTTCCAGGCTATTGATAGCTGTTGTAGGGATGAAATGGAATGTCAGTGTTGTATGTCAATAGTGACTGACATCCCTGAACATATACTAAAAAAATAGCACAGGTACATATTATCACGCAGCTTTACATCCAGAATAACAACTTGGGGAGTGTTTTTTAATATTAATATTTGCATGAAATTGAATTAATGAGCTTTTTTCCTGTGTAGAAGACCACAGTTCTCTGCACAAATATAAAGGCGACGATGACACAATTAGAAAAATTACTAAGAAACCCTTGTGACCCTCAAAGAGATCATTCATCGCAGTAATTCTTCCAAAAATACTGCCTAGGAAAATATTTATTAAATCAATCCAGCTTTATCATGTTCATTCCTTCTAGAAAAGCGGCCCACAGAGAACGACTCTCCCGGATAAACTCAAGCTGCCATATAAGTTACATTATTTTCCACCAGACCTTATGGTAAATTACAGCTTCCAGTCCATCACGCTCCACTAGTTTCAAATAACTAACACACTCAAGGCCAGTTTATTCACTCACCCCTGAAGGAAGCGAGTGTCCTTGGCCAAAGTTTATTTCCTGAAATTTAATTACTCATTTCTTTAATTAGAGATACAGAAAAATTTACAATGTACATACAAAGATCACAGTTTTAGGGGGCCCCAGGTATGGCCAGATTTGGCACTATAAAGTCTGTGCTCTTACACCGTGCAGAGGCAGAGAGAGAAGCTCTATTAAACCCTTTAAAGCATTTTTCTACCTCAAAACTTTTCTAATTATTGCTACTTAA